CCCCTCCCCGCCCGCCCGCCCGCCCGGTTACCTGCCGTGCTCATCTGCTCCCCCGGTGCCCTCTCCATGGCGCTGGCCAGCCCCGCCCGCGGCGTTCCCCTCCACGGGTCTTCGGCCAAGGGCGGGGGGCGGAGCCGGCGGCATAAGGCGCCTGTGTGTTCTCCGGGCCCCTGGGGCGTGGGAGACCAGCATGGAGGGGGAGCCTGGATCCCGCACGTTACCCATGAGTAATGCCAATGAAGGCGTCGTGCCTTCGCGAGTGCCGCACCGGCCGCCGCGGGGACAGGCGGAAAGAGTCACCCAGTGCAGGGGCCGGCGGCCGGGCATTCCTCCAGCAGAGAGAGGAGCAACCTTGTCAATGCTGGTCCGCCCCCGTTCGCCGACGCACCGACGCACCAACGCGCCGACGCGCCGAGCGAGCGGGCGGGAGGCGGGGGCGCAGACGCCTTTGGCACAGGGCGGACAGAGGCGCGGCCCATCGGCCAGCCCCCTGGGGCGGCAGGGGGGGGGGGGGGCGATATTTCCGGCGCCGGCTGGCCAGCAGCCGCCGCTCCTGCCAACGGGGTGGCCCTGGATGTCTGCTGTTCCCCGCCGGCGGCCGCGGCTTCCTTGTACGTGTCTTGGACACACGGGCCTCTGGCACCCCCTCCCGCCTCCATGCTCCGGGACCTCCTCCCCCTCTCGGGCAGGGCATGTTTCGCCGACTCGCCGCACCAAGGCCAAGGGATCCCCGAGGCGGGGGCGATTAATCTCAGCATGGCTTGGTGTGGGGGGGAGAGGCTTGGATCGCGCGCCTGGTAGTCGTTCGGGCGTCGCCCCCCCCCCGGCCTCCCAGCTCCGGCAATGAGATATGCCCGTGGTCGGCTGGCCGGCCGGCGGGGGTGCGCGGGCGGGCGGGCGGACGGGCGGGCGGGCGACCGAGGGCGTGCCGACACAGCGACGAGAGTTAATCTCCGAGCATGGGCTCGGCCGCCGGCCGAGGGGGCTCTCACGGGCAGTACACCGACCCGGCCCCTCGGGACCGGGGGTGGGGGGATCCGGCTTCTCGGCGGTCCTGTCACGCGGCGGGCGCCCGCTCGAGAGACATACACCCGGGCTGGGGGTCTTGGATGGCGCCGGGCCGGGGGCCGGGTTGGAGCGAGCGAGCGAGCGCGCACGCACGCACGCCTGCCAGGGCTTCACTTTCCCGGAATTTGGCATTCCCACAGGATGGCCCCGCGCGCCTCCTGCATGCTCGGGGGGGTTCAGGGTCCCGCGCGCATGGCCGTCTCGCGCACCCGGGCCACACGCCGCCCCCCCGCCCCCCCCGCGCCCCCGCGCCCCCGGCGGCGGCCAGGGCCGGTGTGTGGTTCGGTGCCGGGGACCAGCCGGACGAGGCGCCCGGCGGGCACGCTCTCCGGGCTGGTCCCGGCCCTGGTAAAGACCCCGGAGGGCTCCGGCGGCGAAAGGAAAAGCCGCGCCCCCCTTGTGCGGGCCCGCGCGCGCACACGAGCCTCCGTGGCTGCCAGTGCCCTGCAGCCGCCCTCGGTCGCACGCCCGGGCCCCCCGGATCGGGAGGCCCTGGGCACCTGGCCCCGGCCGGCACTCGCCACTCAGCTGGTCTCTCTGGCTCGGGCTTTCTGCCGGGCTTGCCTCCTCGTGTGGCAGGGGTCTGGGCGGCGCACCCGCCGGATGTGTTTGTGTATGTGTGTGTGTGTGTGCGCGCGCGCGGGTGTGGCCCGGGTCGGACACCTCCCGAGGGCTCCCCGGGGGCGGGAGGGAGCCCACGCCCGTGGTCGGGGCCACCGCCCCCTCTGGTCCCCCCCCCCCCCCCCCCCCCCCACCACCAGGCCGGGGGAAGACGCGCCCAGGGTCCGGGAAGCAGGCTGGCTACCCGGGAAAGGGATCCTTTCCCAGGCCCGGAGGTTGCGTTCGCGGGAAGCGTGCGCGTGTGCGTGCGTGCTTCGAGGCCGGACACGCGCATGCACTCCTCTCCTCCCAAGGCCTGCCCAGGACGCCCGGCCGAGGGGGGCAGGGGTGGACACGCGGTGCAGCGGCGCCCGGGCGGCGGCGGGGCGGGGCGGGGCGGACGGGCGGGGGGGGACGTGTGGTGATCGCTTGTCGGCCTTTCGCTCATGGCCGTTTCCGAGGCGCGTGCGCGCGCCCGGCGGCGGCGGCACACCCATCTGTCGACACTCGGCTGCTTCGGGCGGGCGCGCTCGGGCGCAGGGCCGCCGGCGGGGCATGAGGAGCGCCCGTTGCCAGCCGGTCGGTCTGTCCGTAGGCAGGGCCGAGTGAGACTCTCCATTTCCGATGGACGCCCGGCGGGGGGCGGGGGCTATGGCGGCCGCGGCACCGCCGGCCTGGCCTCCAGGACTGGACAAATGCCGGTTGATGACGGCGCCAGCGCGGCTGTTTGGCTTGGTGGCCACGCCCGGCCGCGCGATAACACCGCGCCTCCGGCGGCCGCCTTTTGCTCGGGCCCGAAGATCTGGCGCTCCGCCAGG